CCACTCCTCGGAAGGAAGGTTGGGCAATCTACTTCTGCAGTGATACTGCCTCGGCAACCCAAGGAGGGGTCGCTATGATTCGGGGCCACCTCAATGGTACATAACAACAACAACAATTTAATAAGTGAAATATTTTCACCGTTTATTATCCTCTTTGTCTTAATAGTTGTCCTGTTAAATTGCATCTGAATGATCACAATTTACTCATATGCAGGTTTAAGGAAATTAGTATGTTTTCTCTAAATTAAACAGCCAGTGTGGAAGTAAAAATCAAAAATTGGTGGTGCAAGTGGTTTGCACCAACTGAAAAGTTGAGGGCTTGAATTCACCCAGCAGTACTGCAGAAGAAAGTCCTGGTAATCTGCTTCTGTAAAGAAAACACTATGCAGCAGTTCTACTCTGTAACATATGGGGTCACCCTGAGTACGGAAGTAAATAAGTGGTAATTAAACTTCGCTTTCTGAAATAAAACAAGTGTGGTTTGATTCCCAGTTTTACCACATTCTAGTTGTGATAATTTGGTTAACATCCTTAGGTCTAATCAAAATAGTAATAAAATCTAACTCATATATGATTGTTTTAGGAATCAACAGATACAAAGCTCTTCTTACTTAGGATTTAGGATATTGGATAAAAATAAGTTTTGGTATTTATTAATTTTATTTCTATCATTTCTAATACATGGCATTATAGAAATTGGCTAGTTTTTAAAGTTCTTTCATATATACATTCTCATTTGAGTATCACATCCATCAAAACTATGAGAAAATGAAGGTTCAGAGAGAGTAAGAACTTGCTCAAGCTCACACATATGGAAGAAGCTGCCTTCTTCTGTCTGATGCTATATTCATCAGTTCACAGTCATATTTCAGATCACAAAGGAGGTAAACAGTATAAAGGAATAAAAATATTTATTGCAAAGAAACTCAAAATTCCTTAATCTTCCTTGCAAGATTATTTCACATCCTTCAGTCATGTTCTATTTTTATTAATTTTTCTCTATTTAACTTTGTTCCAAATTATTTTAGAGTCTCTCATTTTCCATTGATCCAAATTAACAAATAGTAACATTTGGCTTATATTCAAGGTTTTGAAAGTATCCTTCTCAATGTTTGTATGTTTTTCAAATTAAGCATTATAATTTTTCCATGGGTAAATTTTAGGATGGGAGAAATTTGACATGCTTAACTGCAGGGATCATTTCAGAAATGATATTTGAAATAAAATAATTCAGGAGAAATAAGTCACTTCTCATTGTCTTCATACCAAAATTAGAATGCATGAGCTCTGTTAAATAATTAAGGAATATTTAATTTTGCATTATATATAGCTTGTTCTAAAACATAATCTTTCAGATAAGAAAAATCATGAGAGTTTAAAATAGTATATTACTCTGTTATCTTAGTTTGTATGTGAATAGGAATTAGATAAAAGTAGTATTTACATTCTAAAGGAGCTCTGGTGGTGTAGTGCCTAAGGCATTTGACTGTTAACCAGAAGGCTGGTGGTTCAAACCCACCAGCCATTCCTCAGAAGGAAGACTGGGGAATCTACTTCTGTAGTGATACCCCCTCAGAAACCCAAGGAGGGGTTGCTGTGAGTTGGATCCGACTTGAAGTTAGTGAGTTTGTTTTTTTTTTTAAAGGGTGTTCCAAATGTTGAAAGAAGAAAAAAATCAATATTTGATAATAAAACCCCAATTATCTTCATTTTTTAAATTAAGATTATTTTTTATTTCTTATTAGAAGAGCAGCTAGTGCATCACTGCTATAGTGCCATCAAATTAGATGCATAATTAGCCTACTTTGTCTGCTCCCATACCACTTACTTCATCAATATTTTATAATTTATGACTGTATTGGGTAAATCAATACATCATGTTTGATCATTCATATCTTTTGCTCACGCACCTGTGTTGTCTTCTTTGATGTTTTCAGACAATGGGTGAAGTAACTGGGACTGTGGTAGTCGCAGGTGTACTTGAAGTGCTGATAAAGTCTGAAGAAGCGTCAGGAGTGACAACAGTGTTCACTGTTGGTTCAATGGTTGGAATATGTGTTGGTTCAATAGTGGTGGTGTCAATGGTAGGGATTATAGCTTCATCCTGAACTTTCTTTGGGGGAACGACTATAAGTGATGGATGGAAGTATGTGTGATATGCTAGTGGGGATGGGTTGATATTTGATGGAACTTGCCATTGAGGAATTTGGACATGTGGTCTAACTGCAACAGGTTTTCCAGGATATATGTGAGAGATGTATGGATTATTGATTGGTACAGCGAGTCTAGGTTGGTAATAATTAGGTTCATATTGAGCATAGCTCCTCATATAATTAACTGGGTTATATTTGACTATTTGCTGACAGAACCATCTTTCATCACTCTCAAGGCACTGAAACAAGAAAAAGATAAATTATGTGAAATGTTACTATTATATACCGGAATGCAGAAATACCTTAAATCATTAGCTTTAGAAATAATGTTATAGAATACTACATTGAGTAAATAAAATATTGAAATCAGTGAACAAGATTTGGAGATGTCCCTTATACTTCACAATTTTCTGCAAATTTTATAGATCATATTTGTTTCAAACAAATTAGATGAAGCAATACACAAAGTAAGCCCTATTACACAGAACTTGACATATATGTGTGATACGCTAGTGGGGATAGGTAAATACAGAATATGGTCTATAAATGTTAGGTTTTATAATAAGTATTACTAATAAGCAACAGCTAGAAAAATCTCAGAGAAACTTGACATACTAAAGCAATATATGCATTGTCATCACGTATTTGTAACTTTTAAAAAGTGTGTTTTAGAAATTAGGTATAGGGTACTTCTGTTTTTTTCTAAACAAATTATAACAGAAGAAAATAATATGATGTGGGGAGAGGGATCCTTACTTTGGGTTCTCTCATCTTTTCTATTTGTCTCTGTTTTATCAATTATGTACAGTTATTTTAATTTGTTAGTAGAGCTCCCTATATGAATAGAAAAATAAATAAATAAAATTACACTGTAAACTAAGCATTTCTCATACATTTTAATCCATTCATTCAAACTTATTTGGGAATAAAAAGCAAAAGTACATACAAGTGAATTAGATGCATTCAAAGACAAGTCAGACATTTTAAAGCATGGCAGGGGAGAGTATTAAAATTTTACTTAGATTTCCATTTTATTCTAAAATTTTAAATGCTGAGAATTTCCTTATGTTGTTAAAAATACATGAAAATCAATTTTACATGACTTAGGATCCAAAATTAAACCAGTTTTCAGATGGATGTTGAAGTTGATTCATATGATTAATTGTTAAAGTGATGCTTTTTGCAAAGGTTATTATTTTGTTTTGTGGAATTTAAAGTATTTATTTAGCTTTTAAACATAAAGTATTTTGATATTGTTAAACTTTGAAGAATAATTATATTTTTGAGATTATGACTCTAGAGAAATAATTAAAATAAACTTACTGTTAGCTGTTCCTGGCTTTGCACCTCTGCAGCCTAGTTAGATTCAGGGGGAGAAAAAGTATAATAATAATAATAAGAGATAAACAAGGCAGAATCTAGGTATTTTTGTTGTTTTAAAAAGTATTATATGTATTAAAGAAAAAATGTGTTTTTGTTTTCATTTTAATATTGAAAAACATTTTCTATGATTATTCAATCTATAAGACCTGTAAATTGCTCAAGAAACCTACTGCCTTCTACTTGATTCTGACTCAGAGAGCCCCATTGGGTTTCCAAGGTTGTAAATCTTTATGGAAGCAGATTGCCTCATCTTCTTTCCACAGAGCAGGTGGTTTGAACTGCCAACCTTCTAGTTCACAGCCAAATTCCTTAGGCACTTGCCTACCAGAGAGCCTTACTTATTAAAATAATGAGAATGAATTCCAAGGTCAAATTGTTTTTAAAAACTACCACCTAGGAGAAAATTTCCCTATTGAAAATAACCTAATAATTTGTTCTCTGTGCCAGCAAATACAAAAAATTTGCTTAAATGAAAAATATGAGTAACATATAATAAAAGTCCATTGTTAAAGATGAGAGGAGTGTTGAGCATAGTTTTTATTTTTATTTTTTTGTTTGTTTTTTCCCGCTCTCAAACAAGAGTAGTAATTCCTCAGATTTACTTAACCATAGCAACTGTATAGGATGGAATAGAACTGTCCCACAAGGTTTCCAAGGCTGTAAATCTTAAAGGTAGACAACTGCCTCATCTTTCTCCCTGTAGAGTGGTTGATGGATTTGAACTGCTGACACTTTGGCTACCATCCAAATGCTTTAATCATTGTACCACCAGAGCTCCTTAGAAGAGGTTTACTTGCAAGATTTAAAATATTGCCTCTAGCTTATCATGGGTATATGTGTTGTTGTTGTTAAGTGCCGTCGAGTTGTTTGCGACTCATAGCGACACCATGCACAGCAGAATGAAACACTGCCCGATCCCGCGCCATCCCCACAATCCCTGCTATACTTGATCCCATCATTGCAGCCACCATATCAATCCATCTCCCTGAAGGCCTCCCCCTCTTTTGTCGACCCTCCACCCTACCAAGCATGACATCCTACTCCAGGGAATGGTCCCTTCTTACAACATGAACAAAATAGGTGAGACGAAGTCTGGCCATTCTTCCTTCCAAGGAGCATTCTGGATGCACTTCCTCCAGGACAGATCTGTTAGTTCTTTTAGCAGTCCATGGTACTTTCAGCATTCTCCGCCAGCACCACAATTCAAAAGCATCA